ATCACATAGCCTGATGAATAGGTCCTATCCACACCATGGGACAGCCAGATCATCTGGTCACTATCACACCTGAGAATTATGGTTGGCTAAAATTTTTGAGACACAGGTAGACTCACAAGAAGAAAAGAAAAAAAAAGCATAGTAGTATAGAACTAATATCCCTTATTAACTCTCATCTTCTAAACAAATCCCTGGAGCATAAAGAAGAACTAAGCCCGAAATTCCTATATTAAGAGTTTATTCTTATTTTAATATGAATGCAGTTGTCCTTCACTATCCATGGGACTCTCTGATAAGGAGTGTATTTCAAAGACCTTCCTTCACTGAAGTTCTACATCAAGACCAATGCAGCCATTTAAGCAGTCCTTGTTTTGTACCATGTAACCTCCAGATCTGTACAATGGTAGTTTCTGGAAAAATAAATATGTTAAAATATGCTAAATATTTAGCACAGTGGCTAGCATATGAGATCAATATGAATATGCCTCTAATGATAATGATGAATGATTATGAATATAGTGGTCATATGTAACAAACATAAAGGATGCATAATCAAATGAATTTCAGATAAGCAGTATGCACTTTGTAGTATGTATATGATCCATGAAGTATTTGGAACATACTTATATTAAACAATATTACCCTGTGCAAATTTGAGACATACCTATATTAAAAATATTTGTTTATCTGAAATTTATATTTAACTAAGCATTCTGTGTTTTATAGAGCAACCTCAAAAATGAATAAATGTGCTCTGCTGTCCTCTGATAAATGCTGAGTGCTGAACTTCGAAGAAGATTCACCCACTCACCACCTTCTGTGCTTATTTAGAGAAAGGCTAGGCATCAGTTTTCTTGATTTAATTCAGATTTCCTGTTTCTATGGTCAGATGAACTAAGACCACATGCTACCTTCTGATGCTTGACATTTGCTAACTTTCAGAAGTTCCTGGAAACCTGTCAGCATTACCCTGGTGTTATCTACCTTATCTGAATGGTATGAAGATCTTCTAAAAATACTGATGCCCAGGTTACACCCCAGACCCATTTCATCAGATTACTAGGGGTGAGACCAGGCATGAGTATTTTTAATGCTTCCCCTGTGATTCTAATATAGCACCTGGGAAGAGAGCCACAACCTAAAATTATACAGCTACCAAAGCCTTGGCTGAAGCCCAGTAATACCAGTTCCTCATAGCCCCTGCTGAAATATACTTGAATTCTGTTCCATCATTCACTGTCCTTATCATTGACATTCCTGCATCTCCCTATGTAGTAGCAAAGTTTGATTCTTGATAAAGCTGCAAAGATCAGTCATGCTGGTTTCTCAGAGCAGAGTGTGTCTGGACTAGGCCATCACATTTTGCTCTAGGTTCTGTAACTTGAGCCTAGAAATGATTAGTTCCATTTCTAGAAAACTCCTGGGAAGATGGCATACCTTTTTTCCTTTTAGTTGTGTGCCCACAGAGTTGGTCTCCCTATCAACTGGGTTTGAGGCTCTTTCTCAGAGGACAGTTAAGAAAATGACTGCATCTGCAGAAAATGACTGTTAAGTCCTGCAGTATGGCGGGACTTAACACCGTCTTTCTGGGACTGGTTCCCCCAGAGAGACAGGGAACCAGTTGATGGTATAATCCCTGTTCTCCTAGAGCCATATTTGGCAGAGAAATCCTTTAAAACTTAGGGAACATCCCAACTGAGTTCTCTCTGCCCAGGGCCTCAACAGTTGAGTCCACATTTATAGGACAGTTTACTTATAGTCTTCATCAGGTGTGAAGTATAAAAGCCTTGCATAATTTAGCCCTGGATTTGTAAAGTCAAGTGCATAATCGCAATATGCATGACTTAATGTTTTCATGGGGCAGGTTGACTCACCCACTTTGCTCTGTGTGCTCTGTTGAATTAGTGGAGTTCTAAGTGACTGCTTAGTGAAAAGGAAATAATTCATTTTGCAGAGAGAATATTGCATTTCACTTGCTTTAACCTAAGTGTTTAAAGATCCAAATTCTCCTATGACATTGTGTTCCTTTTTATTTGTTTGCATTTTAATTATTATGGAGCATTCAAGAGAGTTCAGTCATTAAGCAATAATCAGATGCTGATTGCTTGAACTCCACAGAGTGTTTGCTTTTGAAAACCTAAGTCCCAGATAATAAATGGTGCAAGTTTATCAAAGCAAGTGGCATATACTTTTCTTCTGGTTAGATCCAGATGTGCAACAATTTCTACCTGCTGGTTTCAATTGGCCCTGGGAATACCTTTTGTGTTAAGCCCACTCACAGCTAGAGGGAACCAGCATCAATCTGACAAAAGAATAATATTATCTTCCAACTAAACAAAGCAAAAAAGTCAATGGGACAAATCGTTCTGTCAATAATCCAAAGCCCAAACTACGTGGTATCCTGCTATTTTTAGAACTTGAGGGGAAAAGAGTCCTTCTTATTGTAAAAATGATCCAATTAAATAGGAAGTTAGCACTGGGAAACTCAGTGATTTCTGTGAGCACCATTTGGGATACCAGCATTTTTTTTTATGAAAGCAGAAAATGAAGCCCACAAAGGTGGCAGCCTTTCAAAGGAAGAACAGGTAGCATATATGCCAGGTGGTGGTTCCTGAAAGTTGCATTACCAGCTGCATGAAGTGGCAGAAGTAGTTTGATTTTGTTGGACTACAGAGATTGTTGGAGTACTAACTCTGATTTTGCTCTCCCTGAATTTCACCAAAACCTTACATTGAGCTCACCTTTCTTTACAGGTTTGTTGGAGGTCCAGAATGAGAGCTCTGTAGATTTTTCTGCAGTGAAATTATTCTAATTTAATAAGAAACTTGATGTGATTAATTAGATTAATACTGCAGACAAGCTTATAGAACATAAACCTGAGTTTTTATAAATCTTCATGCAACTAGGAATTTAAGTGACACCATTTATGATTTCAGTTTTTCTAAGTGTCAAGTATTTTGTAACATAGCTGGATTCTTTGCTAGGAGTTTTACCAGCCTGAAATCAAGGCATCAGCTGGGCCTACAGTTCTGAGTTTCTAAGCCTACCTACTCTTTGAAGCTCATCACTTATTGGCTGATTCAGTTCTTTGCAGCTGTAGGATTGAGGTCTCAATTTTCTTGATATGTGCTTACTTCATCTTCAAGCCGACAACAGCACATTGATTTTTTCTCATGATTTGAATCCCTCTGCCTTCCTCTATGCCTCTCTTTGTCTCTAAGGACTCATGTGATGACATTGGGCCCAATCAGGCAATCCAGGATTATCTCCCTATTTTGAGGACAACTGATGAATAACATTAATTACTCCAGAGAAGTCTGTTTTGTCATCTAAGAAAATCACAGGCACAAACCAGAAGGTGTGGGTCATGAGGGCCACAGTGGTGACTACAGAAGCTGACAACTCTGGGGTTTGTGGGGGAGAGAGAGATGAGAACTTGCAGTTCCTGCTGGCACCTCAGGGCCCAGATATCCTTGGCTTCTTCTCAGCTTCAGTTCTCAGGGTATTTGGGAGATGAGAGTCAGCTGTTTAGAATCACAGGCAGGTTATTTCTGATGGGTAGAATCAGAAGTCTCTCTAGTAGAATATTACATTATCATTTCTGGGACTTTGGCAGAAATATTTATTTGTGAAGTGAGGAAGAGCATCCTGAGTTCTAAGACCATGAGCCCCATCTGCTCTGGAGGAGTGATCTATTATTCATTCCTGTATTCCCAGTGGGCAGCATGGCCCATGGCCCATGCAAGACACTCTAGAAATGCTTATTTGAATAGATAAACAAATAAATGAATTGATCCATCCTGAGCATCTTCTATTTGGAGTTTTTGTACTGATATTTATAGTCACCCATTTCCTCCCAGCTGCTTCCATATTCCCCCAAATGCTGGAATATATCATGCAATTGTCCATGCTATCTGTAAGCAATCATAATCATAAAAACCTGCTTCCCTTCTGAGAGAGCTGGATGGAACATTTTCCTGAATTTTTTTCTACCCTAATCATTGGTGCTAACATATGCATCTGTTTCTCCTTCCCCATCACCACTCATGCTTCCCAGGCCCATGCTGATGGCCTCAAATGTCTATGCTATGATTAGAAACTGAAAGGGTATACTTAGGTCTAGTATTGAGTCTAAAAGTCTACTATAATTTATTTTTTAGCCTGTTGATTTTCTCTGAATTGTTTTTTTAAAAATTTTTCATTGACTCCTAGGATGAGATTTATATAACCTGATACTTATTCCCATACCATCATTATACACATACACAAGCATGTATGCGTGTGCGCGTGCACACACACACACACACACACACACTCTGAACTGCACAGTTTCTTGGTCCATGAGAAGAGAATTGATGATCGTTTCAAAGAGAAACTCATAGAAGGTATTATTGCTCATTGATTTTATGCTTGGTTTTGTACTACATTTATTTTCTCTTTAATATCTTTCTGTTTATCTGAAATAATAAGTTATCTTCTGAGTACCTGAATCCAGGGAAAAAAAGTGGACATTTGTGTCAAGCCTAGTAGGTAGGTGTGAAAATTCTGATCATTTGAAACATATTTCCTTTGATATGCCTTATTTGTTGGGTAAATTAGAATTTATAAATTATAGTTTAGTTTCTACATAGCTCTCTGTTCAGTGTGATGAGTATGACTTTCTGGAGAACTCCATAAACCCTGAGTATGATGAGCAAATATGTTTTTTGACCTGTAGAGCAGGGTAGACTTTCTCAGACCCAAGCAATGACCCAGTCTGCATTTCCCAAAGGAATACTTCTGCCAGGGTTCTGGAGAACTTCCTGCCAACGGAGGTGTTTGCTACCCTCCTAGAGGCTCTCATAACCTGTCATCTCTCCCCCCAGGAAGAAATTCTCAGGAAAACTCTTCCTGTTATATCCAAATGCATATTTCCCCAATTCAAGGTTATGAGACATAATTTGGAAATTTGGAAAAGGCCCACCCAGCCCACCCCAAGACTCTGCCTGACTGTCTGAACACAAGAACACATACTGCAACACAGCCATGCAAATTTAGTGCCTAAACCTGCTAGACAGTAGGGACAATTTTAAGGAGGGAAGAAAAAACTACCATAACAATGTTGTCTTTGCAAGTCTGTCAACTGTGAACTGCATGTGAGGGGAAAATGTAAAATTAAATGTACCAAGAGAACTGCTTTCTTTCACTACTGGTAACAGGTCATTTTAATCAGATGGGGATGTTGGTGGTGGCGTGGTAGCCACATGTCATTATGTTATATAACATCACACACATTTTGGACAGTGAGTTTCTATTAAGTTTTTAAATATTATCTAATGTCATATATCAAAGGTGAATTAAAGCCAATGTGCCCTGTTTTCCTGGACTCATTTCTAATAAAGGACCAAAGAGCAGTTACCTCTCAGCATAAAGCTGACACACCACAGTGCATCCAGTGATCATTTTTTCCAGTCTGGAAAATTGCTGATTGAAAGAGAAAAGGGAACATGACAGTCAGCTCAGCCAATATCAGGATCACCAGGAGGATCCCCGGTTGCAGATGGGAACTCACAGAAGGTGCTTCTCTTACACAAGACAATCACAACATTGCAGGTGTGTGGAAGTGTACAGATGGGATGTTGACTGGAAGTGGCGATGCTTGCAGAAGTGCAGTGGGTGCTGGCAGTGAAATGTAAGCTAGCCCTGTAATAAAAGCTCCTGGGAATGCAGAGGATGCCTCAGCATTAGGCATTCTCCTCGTGTTTCACATAAATGCATACTGTTCTCAGGAGCAGATGAGCGGTGCGTTTGCACTGGCTCATTCAAATTGAATGTTGGTAAAAGGAGAGTCCTCAGCAAACAGAGCAGTTTGGCATCTTTGAAGGCTAGGAGCAAGGTTAAGCGGCCAGCCGTGTTCTCTGCTGTTTATTGGATGTTTATTTGCTGGCCTCAGTGCACACCTAAGGTACGTTGCAAAGAGGCACCGATAGGGCGGCTGATGCCTGCATGGCACAGGTGCCCATGCACTTTTCCCCAGGCTCTTTTGGGCACTAAAGTTCAAGGCTTCATATGTGGCTTCACATGTTGTCCCCTAACTTGCCATGGCTAATGTTTTGCTGGAAGAGAAAGCTCCTCTGGAGAGGCAGTTTATATTGTATTTTTTCTTTTGTTCTTCTTTTTTAATGCTGTAGCTTTAATTTTGTCACAGCAAGGGTAAGAGAGAGAGAGCCTGTAGAGGGCTTTTTGCAACATGCTTTTCAATTAGTTTTAAAGGGAGCAGAGCATCAACAGCTGCAGTGCTCACTCATTCTCCAGTCATGTGCTATGAGGAATAAAGACACTGTAGGGCAGTGAACCTGAACTTGGCCCATTCATCCATACTGCATTGAATGATTGCATGGAGTGGAGTCAGATGCCACTTGGGGGTGAAGAGCATGCCTCATCTTGCATTCCTGCTGGATACATTAGGAAGGACCCTTGACAGAATCCAGTAATTAAAAGGTAAACCGTGAAGTGTGTGTGTGCCGTGTGTAGGAACTTGGACACTGAGGGGTGCTGATCGTGTGGGGGCAGAGCAAGTTATGTTTCACTTGGGGGGAATGATACAGTCATTAGCTTTTCTTGGCTGATTGATTGGTAGGAGAAAGGGAGAGATTTTGACTTGCTGCTGAGTTACAGTATATTTCAGAAGTTTCTTTTATACACAATGATATCTCTTCTAGGCCCCAAGGACTCTGGACTTGATTGTTGTACTTCTATCCCTGAAACCGAGTGTTCACAGTGGGAATCATGGTGAAAAGTTTTGACCACAGAAATGAATGAGTACTCCTGGCCACCTCTGAGTTCTATTGGGTGAAATCTTATAGCAAGAATTCATTCTGTGTTTTGATTTTCTGTTTGTTTTTCCAAAATCTAGTAAAGAAATGGCTTTGGGGAGGGGTGCACAAAAGCACTGGAAAATATGGCATTTGCCTTTTATTCCTTTCTGAAGACATGGAGTCACCATCATGCCTCCTTAGGGGAGAATCTGGAAGAGAGGCTTCTCATTTAAAATATGTCAGCTGCTTTGTGAAACTTGGTACCATCTTTGTAAATCATTTTTACAGATGTTGCATTTAAAACTTTCTAAAGTAAACAAAGTCTTTTGGCAATGTGTGTTCCATGCAAGTAACTGATGAATTTGTGACCATAAACATAACTTGTACCTAGTAAATCTCTTATCCAGCTCTCTGAGCTCTTTTACAAGCTGCATTAAAAATACAAGGATAGGTTTTTAATTAAACCAGGTATTGGATTTGCCCTCAGGGAGCTGAAATGCAGTAACATGGGAATATGGACAGTGGGAGTTCATTGTTTCTAATAATTGTTCATATAAGTTGCGATTTAAAAATCAGTATATTGCTCTTTGGATCTTTCTGATATTTTCTTTTGTCACCTTATGCAATTGAATCTACTGAATATGTGTTTCAATTAACACATTGAATAGATGCTTAATGATAATTTGTGATTTCCTAAAAGTATACAAAATACATACACACATGCATCCTTTTTATTGATAAACACCCATGTATATGTATTCTCACAGAAGACTTTTTTCCAAAAGGTTATTAGATTGGGAATAGTGTAATTTGTTAGGGGAAGCATTAGGGGTAGCAAGACTTGGAATAGAGGAAAGCATTCTTAGCATGTAAATACTGGTTCTCAAAAAGAAGAGGTTATACTAAAGTGTGGATCATTCAATAGCATTTCATTTTAGAAACAATGCTGGTGATTACTTCAAGATTCATCCTAGCATGATGTGCAGATCCTTGTTTTCATGCCAGAAAGTATGCATTTAATCTGAAGATGAGAGGACAGGAAAAGAAGAGGACAGGGACAAAAAAGAGAATGCAAATTCTTGGGGAAAAAATGGTATCGGAAGAAGTCACTTTTAGTAAATTCCATGCTGGCACTAGGAACAACTGTGTGGAGAGTTGGTAGGAAAAGCAATTTTGATTGATGCCATATTCTTCATTTTGAGCCTATTAAAGTATATACCTTTGCCATTCTTTTTAATTTGTTTGTTTAATTTCTTGTTTAATGTGCTTGTTAAATTCTTCCAAGAAGTAATTTTATAGTGATTTTTTAAAGGTATAAACCTAGTTTTATGGAATATTTTATAGCAAAATATCAAAGTAAATAGCAAATGCATATAATATATGTTACTAAGTTTTCAGAAATATAGTTTTGCAGAGTGAGTACTGAGTTTAGAAAAGGGCAAGTTGAAAAGGCATAGCACAAGAAGATTCATTCCAGTTATTTTTTTTCAAAGAAATCTAAATTTGATTATTTTCTTACCTTTAATTAGAGTATATATGGCTTCACAGAAAGGAGGGATAATAAGTCATTTAGTTTATGTCATGTGGACTCTTTTACTTGAACTAAAGCAAGTATTTGATCTGTTCATGAAAGTTGCCCAGAGCCCCACTGACCCTGAAAGTTTCTGCTCTTTGAGGGTCCAACCTGTTAAAACAGCTGGGAAGAGTTCTGTGACACTGCAATTCATGGATGTCTGTGCTTGATTTATTTCCTAATGTGATTTATCAAAGCAATTGTGATATCTTGTATTTACAGAGCAGCCTTTTGTGAAGAGCTCACAGTGTTTCTTGGACATTATCTAATTATCAGGATGCCAGAGGGAAATAGAGAGAGTACACTATCTCCACTCCACAGTTGAGATGACACTGAGACAGAGAGGTAATGCAATTTATCCAAGATGATTCAGAAAAATGCTGACACATAGCTAGCAAATGAGCTTGGGTGAGTTCCACAGATGACTATGGGGGCTTTTGTCTCTAAGACCAGCTTACCTTACTGGTGGACCCTTGCTCTGTTCTCTGGAGTCCTCCACCTAAGAAGAACATGTTCCATCTGGACTTCAGGGATTCCATCCCAATAATTTGAGGTTACAGGATTCCAGTGTCCTGTGTGACATCTGCAGTTATCAGCTGGAGTGAAAGCAAGACAGGACACACCCGTGGGCTGCAAAACATGGGTCACAGAGTTAGCGAATAATGCTCAAGGTCATTACAACCAGTGCAGAGAGCAACAGGACCTATAATTTCTCTGTGTTTAGACTTGAAAACCATTTGAACCCTCTCCTTCCAGAAGCCCGTCAATTCTAGAGAGAGTAAGGATGCTTTCTCACCCTTCAGATGGAAACCATAAAAGTGAGAGGCAGGAAGCATGCTTCTATTAGTATTGCAGCTTTTAGGCAGGCTAAGCTTGCTCAAGATTGAACTAAAGCTATAGAAAAAGTGTTCTCACATAGTTGTGAAGATGTACTCATTTTATCTGCTCTACTTTATTACATGCTTATTTTTCAAAGAAATCATGCCCAGTTACAAGATAAGAAAATTATTTCACATTCATAGAAGTTAGCAAATAGACACTAAAAAAAAAAGGAACTTGAACCCATCTGTAGAATGACAAACAGCTGGATAGCAAGGCAAAAACCTTTCTCTTCTCTTCTCTTCTCTCTCTCTCTCTCTCTCTCTCTCTCTCTCTCTCTCTCTCGACTCCCTTCTCTTCTGCGACTGGCCACTATGGTCCTGCTAATAAAATCTCGGACAGGTAAAAACAAAAATAAACCTTCCAGAAATTTGGGACTGTCTTGGTAGCAATTGAATTGTAAATGTGCTACTTATACAGTGACCCAGAGGTATGGTCTGGAGGTATGGTCTGGACAGATGGATCATGGAAGGAAGATCTGCAAAATGGAGGAACTATACCAGAAGTTTACACAAAGTAATCCCTGGAAGGCTATCCTACTCTGGAACTTTCTCTACATGACTGGTATTATTTGTATGCTGTGCTCCACCCCTGCCCCAAACAAGATTATAAACTTTGGAAGAAAGCAAATTATTTCATACTAATTATTTTAAAAATTCTAACTGAATAAGCCAGGTACAGTGGCCCATGTCTGTGATCCCAACTGTTTGGGAGGCTCAGGCAGGAAGATACCAAGTTTGGGGCCAGCCTGGGCATCTTAGAAAAACCCTGCTGAAAATAAATTTTTTTAAAGGGCTAGGGATATAGCTCAGTGTCGGAGAACATGCCTAGCATGTACAAGGCCCTGGATTCAATTCCCTATACTCCAAAACATATAACTCCCTTGCTGAATAATGTACTATCTTAAACCCGTGAAGGTACTTGCTAAATATTTTTTAGTTGAAATTATTGCCAAAAATGTAGGTCATGATTTATCATTATTAAAATTTTATAGTCATTCTAATTTAGGGCATTGAACATAGATACAAAATTCCATAAGAGTATGAGGATATGCTAAAACTAGTGGTTCTCCAACAAGGGTGATTTTGCTACCCCTCCCCTAGAAGATACAAAGGAAATGTCTGGAGACATTTTTGTCCTCACATCTGGTGGGGATGCTACTGGCATCTAGTGGCTAAAACCCGAGGATGCTGCTATACATCCCACATTAAACTGGGTGGTCCCCATCAAGAGACATTTGGCTCTACCTCTCTCAAAAGTGTCGAGGTTGAAAAATTCTGATCTCAGATAAAATCCACATCATATTGTTTTTGCAATGACTTTTGTTATTTTTCTGTTTTCCCTTGAACCCTGAGCTTCTTGGAGGTAGGGGTTTGTTTTACTCATTTGTGGAGACCAAGTTCAGCACAACACCTGACATATATTAGGTTTTTAATATGTGATGGCTGAATTGATGAATGAATGAATGTTAATGATGCCAGAAAAGGTGCTCCTGTATCCTCTTTGGAACAATATTTTAATTAGAAACTACATTTCTAATCAAGGCCTTGACAGTAAATAATCAATGGGGTCAATGACAAGTTGCAAAAGCAGAGACACAGCACTCACACATCCTTGTCTTTATTTAAGAAGTCCACTGGGCCTCATGTCATAAAATGTTATCTCAGAAGGAGACATGAGAGGTCATTCAGTTCAACCCGCTTAAATTAAAGGTGAAGCTGTTGAAATCTGGGGATGTTAAATGACTGGCCTAAGGTCACACAGCTCAGTGGCAGAACTGAGGGTAGAATTGTTTCTAACTCAGAGCCTTGGCATGTTATATGAAGATGCTAAACTGTCTCCATTATGTCAACCCTAAAAATGGGAAAAACAGGTTGTTGTGATCACAAGAAGCAACATGTTGATACAGTATTAAATGTAACAACATAAAAATCCTATTTACAACATCATAGAATTTGATCTTAAACTTGTATTCTCAATGTCATCATCATTAATACAGAATTTAAAGGAAAGCAATGTTAGGCCTAAAAAAACTCTTGGTAACCACTTGGTGAATCCCTGTATTCTGTAATGGGAGGAAAGAGGGCTTTAGAGATGTGAAGCTATATCCAGAGTCATAGGGAGGGGGTGCTAGAACTCTCAGTTCATTTTCATTCTTAGAATGTTGTGTCTAAAATGGAATATTCATTGCAAAGGATATTACAGGAAAACACGGTACAGTCAGATGATTT